GGAAGGAAGGAAGGAAGGAAGGAAGGAAGGAAGGAAGGAAGGAAGGAAGGCCGACAGACAAGACAAGACAAGTTAGGCAGGCAGGCAGGCAGGCAGACAGACATAAATAAAAAGACAAACAAATTAACAAAGGCCCACACATTATTGTTGAATCTTTGTCATTCAGTTTTTTACCCTATATTATAGGGCCTATAATCAATGCAAATTTGTATTTGAACTGTTATGGTTTAGAAGGTTTGGAACCCAAAATTGCAAAAGTGAAAGGTCAAAATAAATTAAATTTTATTTGGAAACAAAATCAAACTGGTGGCAAAAAACTTACCAGGAACAAGGAAGCTGGAGAAGCAGAATGTATTGCAGAGCCAGAATGCAGGAGTGAAATGAATGGAGTGAAGACAAACTAAAGAGGCTGATGATGAGGAGAAGTGACTGCAGCTGTGACAGGTGAAAAGGGTGCAGGTACAAGTGGGCATGGCAGAAACTGACTGAGGAGAAGTGATGGCACAAAAAGAAAAGATAAAATGGAGAATCACAAAAACATCAAACACAAAATATTGTAAATGAGCAAACAAAAAAAAAACATCCTGGCATTAAGGATTTTACAAATTTGTCATCATTAAGAATAGGTTTGAGCCTTTTTCACAGCTTTAACTTCATCAGTAAATCTCTCTGGAACCAACACCTTCAGTTTTTCTTGAAGATGACTTCTGTTGTTCAAAGAGTTTATCGTWGTTTTCTACTCTTTCTTGTTTTGACCCTTCTCAGTAAGTTCCCCTGCAGTCTGTCCTCCCTGTTACTCGTGCTCCTGGATCTTTTTATTACTATTATTTTCTCATGAAACATGAAACATTCAAGTTTCATGTTATTTACACGTGTCCTCAGAGAAATATTCTATTTTTAAAAATGTATTTATTTGTTGACATGTTGGTTAACTGATGCCTGATAACTGTACCTGTGARGCTCACAGTTGTTCCTTCAGTAAAACCAGTTGAAATTGTGACAAATAATGAGAGTGAAAATGAAACCACTTCAACCACAGAGGACGCCTCTCCAACAGTAAGAGCAGTCATCAGCCTTTTCTTCTGATGGTGTAGAAATGACTCGCTCATGGGAGTAAACTGTGTCTGGACTTTATGGTGTAATGTTAATGTTAAATTCAGAGAAACTTGGTGTCACTGGTTTATTTTAGCAGATCTCTWAAAGTCACATTCTAATTTATGACCATCTTGACAGAACTTTATAAATAATTAACATTTACTTGTTGTCAACTGCTTTTTTTAACCACTTCAGTTTAATTCTGACAAGATTAAAGAGCTAACAGTGAAACTTAAAACGTCCCCAATCTTTAATTGTTCATGGGAACACACATTTATAAATCTTTTTAGCTTTCCTTTACATGGTAATTTGCAGTTTTTATTTTTTTAGTTTTTTTTTGCAGCAGCAGCAGCTTGCAGTAGAAATTTCTGTACAGCCTAGAGCAGATTTTGCAGGGATTTCACAATATGTTCAGACAAAATAACTTTGTAGCCTAGTTTAAAAGAGGGGGGGTTGTAAACATTTAAATAACTGGATTTGTATGAACAGGCATGAAATTCCATCATATGAAACATGTTTTAATTTTTATTTTGCTGTCAGCTGAACAAAAAGTGGAGTGAATGTATTTTTTACAGTCTTCAATAAGTGAAAGGCTCCGCATGAAATGAAGCTGAATTTCACCTCTGCTCACCAAACAAATGAGAAAAGAGCGCCCTCTGCTGGTGTATAAAGTTAATGCAAAAGGTCTTTAAAATATAGGTGAAAGACCCTGGAGCCCATCAAAAAATATTTACCTAATGTCATTTTTTTTGTTTTACTAGAATGTTTTCTAGAGTATTGTTCTGAATCTGACAGTTGTTTCTCTTTATGATAACCATCAGACTTAAAGGTAGGTGATCATGTACAACTGTGTCTCTGTCTGTTAGCAGGATATCRAACTAAAGAAAAGACTCATTTTACTGAAA